TGCATCATTTTTTGCCTCTATATAGACAACATCTTCATTCCACGTTGAAACAGGTCTCTGGAGAAAGTTCTCATTTATTTTTCATCAAGAAAATAAATTTATGCTTTTGACAGACACAAAATCAAAGTGCTTGTTTATCATTGGCGCTAATTTTGATCTGGGATTGCAAGAAACATATTCTTAAATAATAAATAGCTCTAGCCATCTACCACGCTTTATGCATTGCTCCAAGAAATCTGGTTTTAATTTTTTTTTTTAATTATCAATTTCTAAGAAATTAACAATTAGTTAACGATAATCATCGCGTAAAATAGTTTTTTGCAGTTCTTTATTATAAAATATCAATAATTCTTCTAATGTTGAATTACTAAAATGTTGTTTGACGATATAGGTGTATGTTTGAATAGCAGCCAGATTAATAGTTTTCCAGTTTTTCCTAAACTTTTTGAACGTTGGGATATCAGGACTACTAGTGACTTGGTGGAATTTTGTTTTAAATACACATTTTAAAACTATTTCGGAAGCATGATGGCGGTAAGCAAAAAGTAGTAATTCCCTGTCTAGCTTTTGTTTCAAAGTACACTAGCTCCTTTTAATGGCCCTGTATTATAATCCTTTTTGCCTAAAATGTGATAAAGGTCTTCCTTCTTCTTTTTGTTGTAGTTTCAGAGCATACTGTTTGAGAGGTTGATGGTAACAGTTCCTCAGGACTTTCATCGGTGCTGGTGTGTGATTGTGATAATCTTGCTTTTTGTATAAATTTTTTAGTAAGTCTATTCGCATGCACGTGTGAATAGACTATATCGATGGCTCCGCGCAAAATCGGTCTATCTGCATTCTCCGCGAAGAATATTTTTGGTCTATCTGCAATCTCCGAGAAAAACATTTTTGGACTATCTGCAATCTCTGCAAAAAACATTTTCGGTGTATCTGCATTCTCCGCGAGAAACATTTTTGGTCTATCTGCATTCTCCGGGCAAACAAATTTTAAATCTAATGATTTTTTGCGCCCTAAATTAATGCAGCTTATTTTCATTTCAAAAGAATAGGAGCAATACATGCTTTGTTTATGTTATGTAAATTATCAATAAGCTATAGATATTTTTATCAGCAGTCTTTTAAAATAAAGTTTAACGAGCATCATTTAAATTTGTTTAGCAGTACTTAGTTTAAATATACACTTTAAACAGTTATGTTATGTAACTGTTAGCTTCACGGCTGTTTCAAAGGGCATTTTTGTAACTCGCGCTCAGCTTGAAAATCAAATAGAACATATATAGATTTTTAATCTTTTATATCTTAAAATATATTTCTTCAAAAGTCTTCTTTTTTTTTTAATGTGCAGTTAAATAACCAAACAATATCAATAAATAAATAATTTTTGTTCAAGTGAAATTACTTTCATTATTTTAACAATCAAAATCAATATTTTACTAACAAAATATAACTTTTTTAAAAAAAGCTCGAAAATGAGCTATATAAAAAAGCATTTGGCGTGATAAACGGTCGTCCATAAAGTACGTACGCTTTTTTTTCGCTACCCCCTCCCCTCGCAAGTTGCCATACGCTTTTTTGATTACTCTCTACCTCCCTAAAAGTATCTACGCGTTAAACCTTCCAACTCAACATTTTATGGTATTTTTTTTAATTTAATTTCTCCATACTTTTATAATTGATCTTCTGCCCCCTTATCTCAGAAACGCCATTTATACTCTTCCTCTCCGAGCGTACATACTTTATGGACAAACCCTAACTACAGAAGCTTTTGACATAATTTTTTATGCGTTGTGTTTTAAAGGCTTTGCAAGATGTTTGTTGAAATCCGCTACTTAAATTGTTAAAAACATCACACAACATTTTTCAAAATCCTATAACACTTCCCTATTACTTTTCAATAGGGTAACGCGCCGAATAGCTGATTCAATACAAATTTATTAACAAGTTGTCTTGTAATATATTAAAAAATTATATGTTTAGTTGCTCGCGTTTATAAGCGAAATAAATTTACAACTCTAAATTTTACAACTCTAAATTTTTTTTTTAACAGAAAACTTGTTTATTCAAACACTCTATTAATCCATAAAGAGTAAAGAAGGCAAATCGTAAATGATGACACCTAATTGTTTGTACAAAAACAACTTGCCTATAATAAAACTTTGTTCTGTAGCATTTTTTTATCATTAAATTGTATTAATTAAACAATTTGAGAGAAATGTTTCTTCCATTTGTTGTTACCAATTCAGTAATCTAGTGGGGAGCCAAGTGAGAAATTGCCCCAGGCGTGAAGGCTTAAAGGGGCAACAAAAAAAACGAGAAGCAAAAAAAAAGTTTATTTTACTATAAAAAGCAATATTTTTTAATTTTATTGTAAAAAAGGCGCTTTTTACCTTTTTACCCTGGGTGCGAAAATTCTCTTTACACCCTTGCGTAGTAAATTTAACATTTCCTCATTACGTAAGTTGTTTAAGTGGCGCGCCACTGTGACCTGCCATTGTATATTTTCTCATCAAAGCACAACATTTCCTCATTGTGTAAGTTGTTACAGTCTGTAACGACTTTCACAAGGACTTAACATTAAGTTTTATTAAAAAAATATGCTGTTCAAAATTTAAAAAAAAAAAAATTTGAACTTCCTTTTTCGAAAGTAGTATTAACAATTAGAGTAAAACTTTTTTTAATTACTCAATATAATATTTATCTGTTTCTCTAAAATATTGTTTATATAATACTTTTTACAGAATAAAAAAAAGTTATATTATAAGTTGTATATCTTGAGAGATTGAGAGTAATACTTGAAAAAATATTTTGTTCAAAATTAAAAAAAAAAAACTTTTTAAACATTTTTTTTCTAAAGTATGATTCGAGTAAGAACTTTTTAAATTACTTAATATAATACTTTTTACCTGTTCTTATGTGTTATATAAATAATACTTTTTACAGAATAAAAAAAAGTTGTATATTTCTTGAGGTAATTAATTATTTGCAATTCGGAGTAAATATTCTTTCATATACTCATATATATATATATATATATATATATATATATATATATATATATATATATATATATATATATATATATATATATATATATATATATCTTTGCATGCATGTGTATGTTGCATACATACACACACATATCATATATCTAGTGTGTGTGTGTATGTATGTAAGATTTTTTTATAACTTTGTTCTGGTGCATTTTAAATGATCATGTTAAAAAATAAAGTTGAAAAAATAAAATTCTTTATTTATATTATATTAGCTAATAGAAGAGTAATGTTTTTTTTACTTACTTACAACATTTTACTTTTCTTACAACATTGATTGTATTTGAAAACTTTCCATTCCTAAAACAAAACATATACACATATATTATATGTTTATGTTTTGTTTTAGCAATGGAAAGTTGTAATGTAAAGTAAGTAAAAAAAGAAACATTTCTTTTCTATTAGTTATTTTAATATTAATAAATAATGCTATTTTTTTTTTTTTTTTTATAACATGATCGTGTAAAATCTTTCACAGAAATACAATTATGTGCATCTTAATTTGTTTTTAAACTTATTTTTATTGCCTTATTTTAAATAAATGACGCTTGGTTATTAATTCAAAAAAAAAAAATGTTTATAATACTAAACAGTACACCAAAAGATGCAACTAAATGGTTGTCATCTAAAATTTACTCCGTAGTTAAGAAACGCAGCCATTTTAAAAGCTCTAAAAAACTGGCGCATGCGTACCTAAACATAACGCTTTTTCCTAGTATCTAAACGACCGTGGCTAGAAAAAAGTGTAGAAAAATTCGGTTTGGAATAGATATACAAAGACCGTATTTTTATGGGGCCGATCTAAGCTAGTAGTATTAATAATATCATTTAATAATATCATATACATGATTGTTATAAATGGGAACAAATTCAAATTATGAAAATCTTTGACATTGCAATTGCAATTGGAGCGCAGAGACTTCCGCAATGGCGGATGCTTTTTAATAACGATTTTATAAATAAATAAAAAAAAAAAGCAAAAAAAAACAAAAAACAAAGAAGAAAGAAAAAGAATAAAATAAGAAAAATAAATAAAATAAAAATAAAGAGAATGAAGAAAAGAAAAAGAAAGAAATGAATAAGCAAGAAACAAAAAAAAAATTAAAAACCAAATCAAACAAATCAACAAAAGAAAAAAAAAACAAAAAGAAACGAGAAAAGAAAAAGAAAAGACAAAAAACCAAAGTTAAAAGAAAAAAACATTCGAAAATGGAAAGTAATTATAAAGAATTAAAATAAAATATAGAAATATTTTTACAATAATAATAATAGTAAAAAAAACAATAACAATTATAATAGTAATTGTAATAACAATAATAATCGAAATTATAAGTCACATGTTATTCTTAAACACAATAGCTAAACATATATATATATATATATATATATATATATATATATATATATATATATATATATATATATATATATATATATATATATATATATATATATATATATATATATATATATATATAGATAGATAGATAGATAGATAGATAGATAGATAGATAGATAACTTTTGATATATTTTATTTTGCACGTTAACTTAAAAAACATAAAAGTATTTTGATTAAAATATTTAAAAATGGCAAAAATAACAAAAATGTTTATGTGGGCAAAACTACATAAAAACGGATCATAAATGAATATGAACATGAATCAACGTATCAATATTTTAAATCTATGTTTACAAGAGATGATTGACAGTCCAAAGCAAACTTTTTGAACATATAATAAAGCAGTGCGTATTAGAATAAAGTAACCCAAAGTTTAAATCCAAAATAGGCAAATGAATTATAAAAAATTCTAATGGGGCATAATGTTAATTTTAATGCTAACTTAATAAATAGGAAAATTATTTATTAAATAATTTATTATTTTTTTTAAATATGTTAATCCTCAAGAGTTTTTTTTGGTCTATTTTTATATGATTAAATATTGTACAAATTTTTAAGCTTGTCTTTTACTAGATCAATTTTTTTTTACTACATCAATTTTCTAATGTAAGAATTTTCAAACATTCGACATTCACAAGATGTTCTAATATCTTTGCTAATTTCTTTCCATTTTTCAACATTCACCGTAGTTCCGTCTTTAATTTTAAGCTCACAGTCATTTGTCTTTACTAAAAACTTCATTGGTGTCATAATTTGCGTGCAAACACCTTCATTTTGAAAGCAAAAGTTTCCATTATTGTTTTGTTTGTCTGTACCACAAATAATTTCATTAACGTACCGAGGAAACCTAAAAATAAGCACAATTTATTATAACAAAACAGTTCCAGAGTGTAGTTGGTTGAATGTTTAATATAGGAAATTTTTCATTTCAAAATTTAATATATATAAAAATATTAGCATAAATTTTTACTTCACAACACGAAAACATGCATGTTTACAGTGTCGGCGCCTGGTTATGTAGCGCAAGAGATCGTCCATAAATTACCCAATGCTAAATTTAACTAATAAACAAAACAAAAAAGATCAAAAGTTTTCTACCGAGCCTTAAATTAAGCCAAACATTAAATTTCCTTGTTCAAAGCTTTCCTTGTTCAAAGAAAGTCGCAGCTTTTTTTTTTTTTTTTATTGTTCTTTAATCTTAATATTATTTATTACAAGCTCGTAATATATAATATAATCGTTACAGAGTATAATAAAAATAAAATAAAAAATCGCAAAGTTACGTTACACAAAGAATGCATAAAATAAAACTGTAAAGTATTAGAAATTACTTTAAAGAACGCGAGAAACTTGCAGAAGACCGATGGTCTTGTCATCAAGAAACTGCTAAGCGTTACTAATATTTTTGGATACTTCAATTTAATATAAGTTTATATTTAAAAAATAATGTTTCGGCAGAATAAAAACAAAAAATGCAAAATGCAAAATAGAAAAAAAATAACAAAGAATGCAGACGAAAAGTTTTTAATTACTTTAAATTTTTTTTCAATACACAAGTATAAGTAGGTACACGACTTGCTAAATAGGTAATATATGGTCGTTCACGTGTTGATAAATACGTCTATTCTTTTTTTTTTTTTTTTTTATTGTTGTTGCTGTTGTTTTTGAGTTATTTAGAGTTTTTTAGAGTTAAAAGAGTTTACATTGGTTTCGGAACAAAGTTAGTTTTATACATAGTTTGAAATGTTTTTGGGTTAATAAAAATTCATAAAGTTGTTAGTGTTTAAAATAAGATCTTTTAATAACGCTGTCAGAGCATTTTAATTATTCGATTTTTTCAGTTGAGTATTTTTGGATATTAATTTTTTTTGTAGACAAGGACCACGGTACGAAACAGAAAAGCGCGTGAGATTAGTTTTTTTAAATATACGTTGAAGTTGCCCGTTCCTCTGGTATGGTATCTGTTTTTGCTATTTTGGAAGATATTCTTTAAAAAGTGTGAAGGAACAAGTCCAAGTTTATATTTGAGCATAAACAACAAATTTTGGAATATATTGATTTGATATACATTTAATGCTTTTAAATTTTTTAAAAGTGGCTCAGCATGCGAGTATCTATCCTTATTAAAGACTATTCTAGCAGCATGCTTTTGTTTCCGATATAGTGTGGTTAGTTTGGATTTATGAGTACTTGCCCATGCAACATTAGCGTGTATGAAGTAGCCTTGTATGAACGAGAAGTATAAGAACTTTTAATTATCAAAAGAAAGAAAGAACTAGCTTTGTAAATACCTACCATACCTATGTTTTTTGAAATTTTGATATTTAAAATATCTATATGTGATTTCTATGAGATGTTCTCATCAATAAGTATCCCTAGAAGTTTAGTTGCTTGGGTTCTCTCTATTTTCTTAATATCTATATTTAGCAAAGGTAAATCAGGAGGTATTTTTAAATGATTAGAATGAAAAAAAATGTATTTGGTTTTTTCTGTGTTTAGCAATAATTTGTTAGATTTTGATCAAATGTTTATTTTTTCAAGTTCAGTATTTGTAGTTTCATAAAGTTTTGTAATAGATGAGGATGCATAAAATAAATTAGTGTCGTCTGCGAACATTATGACATCCAATTTACTTGAGGCTTTAGGAAGATTGTTTATATATATTAAATACAAAAGACGTGCAAGAATGGAACCTTGGGGGACACCGCATAGTATTTTGAGTAATTTTGAAATTTTTTTTTTCATAAGCAATAACGCATTGTCTTCTGTCTATTAAAAATTTTTTGAACCAGTTTAGTGCAAAAACTTTTGTCCCATATTTTTCCAATTTCCTAATTAAGATAGCGTGATCTACTGTGTCAAACGCCTTAGGTAAATCAACAAAGTCTCTAAAGACGTAAATCAACAAAGACTCCAAGGACAGCTTAAAAGAGCAAATAATTTCTATATTCAAAAAAAGTTTAACGTAGCGTTACTTAACAAGTTTTGCTAAGATAACATCCCTTATCTCAGCAAAACTTATCTAATATCCCTTATCTCAGCAAAACTTGTTAAGTTTAACACAAACTAATCAAAAAATTAATAAATGCGTATCAGAAAACAATAAATTTAAAGTGACATTTTAGTTTATTATCAATTACATTAACAAATATACTACAAAACCAAGTTCGTGCCTTCTTTCTTTTTAGACCTAAGGAAACGATTTGGTAATTAACAAAATAAAAGAACATAGAACACAAATCTAAAGTGTTGATCTTTTAAAAAAATCTGTTAGTAGATTTATTTAAATTATATAACTTGAATAAAATTTTTATTCAAGTTATATAATTCAAATAAATAAGAATTAACTGTGCACAAGAAGTACAGACTTTATGACTTCATATAATTTACAATATTTAAGTCGCCTGTTAATCGTTATGTTGCCCTATAAATTTCATCTTTTCTCTTCCAGTAACTTCAAAATCTAATAGTGGTTGCTTGCAGCCTTATTGGAAGAAAAATTATTGAAAAAATAAACAATTGAAATTAACTTTAAATGTGAAATGAAAAAGAAAAACATTTGATTTTCAATTCACACACTTTCTAGACAATTAACATGGTACCTTTTGAACAATCTTGTGAAGTTAAAAAAGTCGAAAATTAAATTATATTTTTTTTCCTTTTCATACAATTTTGAATGAAATATAATATATTTCATATATATATATATATATATATATATATATATATATATATATATATATATATATATATATATATATATATATATATATATATATATATATATATATATATATATATATATATATATATATATATATATATATATATATATATATATATATATATATATATATATATATATATATATTATTTTAAAACATCAAAAATACGATTTCTCTCAACACTTATAATTTTTTTATTATTATAGAAATTTTCGCTGGATTTTAGATACCAGCTTCTTTAGCTTGTTAAATGTTACAGTAATTAATAAAATCGTTATAATTTAAATTAAAACGTTGCTACTGACGTCAGCGGTTGAATGGCTTCTTTTTCGCTGAAATTTAAAAAATGGCGTCCAAAACTTCCAACCCTCATCGAGATTAATCCCGCCATTTTTTGCAGAACACATGTTTTTTTGTATTTCTAGGGCTTCCCTAACTTTTTTTTCAAATTTTTTATTTTCTACTTTCAATGTTTTTGTTTGTTCCCAAATAATTTCTTTTTTGCAAAATGTTTTATGCAGAGCTAATGCGGTTTGATGTTGCTTATTTTCATCAATGCTTTTTTGGTGTTGATGCATTCGTGTGTTTACTTTCATTTTTGTTTCGCCTACAAATGAAAGTAAACACACGAATGCATCAACACCTATAATAATAAAAAAATTTTAAGTGTTGAGAGAAATCGTATTTTTGATGTTTTAAAATAATATATAAATATACTCTCACACAAGATGTTATCCTTTAAATCATATATATATATATATATATATATATATATATATATATATATATATATATATATATATATATATATATATATATATATATATATATATATATATATATATATATATATATATATATATATCAAATTGACTTTCTCACACGCACAAACACACACTTTAATATTAATGATATTCTATTACAACACACACATGTTTATAAATTTATTAAAAGATAGTAATTTTGCAATAAAAAAGTTTTTTTGATAATGTCTTTTCTTTTATATAGCATTTTATTTTATGCAATAGTTTAATGCAATATTATAGGTAATAAACAAATCTATAATTTCAACTAGATTTGCTAAATCACATTATATTAAGAGTAGTTAAACAAGATTAAAGTAAAATTTACGCAATAAGTATTGCTGAAAACAGTAATAAATTATATAAATGCGACTTTGAAAATGTAATCAACTTTAGTGAGGATTGACGCTTGGACATTAGCCATGGAAAATAAATTTGATAGAAAATTTCTCTAGATATATCGAAATTTCACAACTAACTCCTACTTATTAAATAATTAATTTATTTTTCTTGTTCATCCTCTGCTCTGTCTACTATCCTAGGCTTTAAAAAGATCAACAATTAATTGAAAATGTTCTACGCAAGTCTAGTAAATTTGTTTTGGCTTGACTGGGCTCACTTAAAACCTAGGCTACTGAGACTAAATTTAACAAGCATGATCTATTATTTTTTACGTAATGACATGGCAGAAACTTACAAATGCATTCACAATCTTTATAAATGTAGTTACAACCCTTTCGTTTCTTCATTAAATACCATTCAGTATTTTATCCATCAACACCTGCAGTCACGCTTATAAAATGAAAAAATGTTTTGTAAGACAGATGTCCGAAAAAATGTTTTAGTATGCAATTCACAAATTTGTTGAATAGTCTACCATCTGAAATAGCATGTTCAATATCTGTCACAACGTTTAAAAAACATCTAGATGTATATTGAGAACATCAAATGTACAATTGTATATAAACTATTAGACCGACATAAGTAAACAGAATAGAACAAAAGGTTGATAGGCCTATATTTTATATACCTAGTTATTCTATTTGTAAAATTATAACCTTAGATAATGATAATAATAATAACAATAACAATATGTTATATCAAAACTCTTATATTAGTTATTTGCCTAAAGATACTTTAAAATCCTCCAATGTCAAGTTTGTTGACATATCATATTTTAATGAAACCAACCCTCAAACTTGAATAACAAATGCTGTTTATCATTTTTTTAAATCTTAAATAGTAAAATTATTCGATTTACTGTATGTTTACTGCAGTATGCCAGTAAACAAACTTTTTTTTTTATTATAGAGTATAAT